GCGTATGAGTGCAGCCCCTGGCTCAGTACCCTGGGGGGGCCCCAGGGGCCCTTGGGGTTGTTGGGGGCCCCCCTCGGCAGTGTCTGGGGGCCCCCTAGCTGTATCCTCAGAGTTGCTTTGTTTTATTTCGTTTTAAACAGTAATTTGTTGCAATAAACAAATAAATAAATAAAAAAACATACGGGGGGCCCCTCTGTCGTTATCTGCTGCGCTGGGGGCCCCAGCGAGCCACAGTCTCACTGCAGCAGTAGGGGGCCCCTGGGGGCCCCCCTCTTGGCGCGATGGGGGCCCCCAGGGTTCTGAAGGAGGGTGTTAAGCACGAACGACGAAACACGGATGCGGGGGCCCCCCACGAGGGCCCCCTTGGGGGCCCCCAGGGCACAGAGAGCAGCGGAGGGGGGGGGCCCCCTACGCTGCAGCAGTCCCCGTAGCCCCGTATTCATTCGTTTGTTCGCGGGGGCCCTCGTGCTGCTGCTGCAGCTTGCAGGCACAGCAGCTGTATCAAGAGCACGGGGGGCCCCCCAGCTGGGGGCCCCCCAAATAAGGGGCCCCCACTGGGCCTTTCAGAACCCCTTTGGCTCCTGCTTGCAAGGAAGGGGCCCCTGCTTGTCTGTGGTTGCTGCATCCTCTAGACAGGCTGTACCCTTTTACAGGGGCCCCCTGGCGGGGGGGCCCCTGGGGGCCCCCCAAGGGAGGGGGCCCCTAGACCCCTTGCAGGAGGTGGGTTGGGGGGGCCCCCAGGATAGGGGGGGCCCCAAGAGCTCGCTGCATGCAAAGGGGCGGCCGGGGGGTGGTGGTGGTGTGGGCCCCAAGAAGAAGACGGCGCAGCAGAAGCAGCAGCAGCAGCTGCTGCTGCAGAAGCAGCAGCAGAAGCAGCAGCAGCTGCAGCAGCTCGGAGGATTCGCAAAACACAAGAAGGCTAAGAAAGCAAAAGAAGGAGAGGGGGGCCCCCAGGGTACTACAAAGAAGACAGCTGCATCTAGGGGCCCCAAAAGAGGAGCAGCAACAGAGGGGCCCCCGGGGGCCCCCCCCTACCTAGCAGCAGCCAACCTAAACGCCCGCGATCTTCCTTATGATATGGTGGGGTGTATACCCTTTTTATTTTTTCTTTGTTTTCTAGGGTTTAGGGTTTAGGGTTTAGGGTTTAGGGTTTAGGGTTTATTTTTNTTTTATTTTTTCTTTGTTTTCTAGGGTTTAGGGTTTAGGGTTTAGGGTTTAGGGTTTAGGGTTTATTTTTTATTATCTATCGCTTATATTTTCGTGTTTTGTGTTTCAAATCTAGGGTTTAGGGTTTAGGGTTTAGGGTTTAGGGTTTAGGGTGTATGTATTCTTCTGTCCCGCATACATTCTCGCATTTTGTTTTTCAAACCTAGTGTTTAGGGTTTAGGGTTTAGTGTTTAGTGTTTAGTGTTTACTGTTTACTGTTTAGTGTTTAGTGTTTAGTGTTTAGGGTTTAGGGTTTAGGGTTTAGGGTTTTGCGTTCAGGTGTCTGCGGAGGTGTTTGAGGTGTATAAGTTATTTGGCCGTCTCTGCGACCCCTTTCTCCCGCACGCTTCTCTCCCCCCTTCTTCTCGTCTCTTCTTAGATCGTCTCTTCAAGGGTTTCACGCGGTGAGGGGCCCCCAGAGCTGTACCCTGTTTTGGGGGCCCCCCGAACTGTACCCTCTTTTGGGGGCCCCCCGAACTGTACCCTGTTTTGGGGGCCCCCCATACTCCCCCTAGTTGTACCCTCTTTTGGGGGGCCCCCACATGCCGCTTAGTTGTACCCTCTTTGGGGGGCCCCCCACATGCCGCTTTGCTGTACCCTCTTTTGGGGGCCCCCACTGCCAAGGGGGGCCCCCGAGATATGGGGCCCCCAGGGGCCCCCATGGTGGTCTTAGGGTGTATGGTGTCTACTAGCTGTCTCCTTTTTTCTTTCTTTCTGTCTGTCTCCTTTCTTCTTTTTCTTTTTTCCTTTTTCTTTCCTTCTTACTGTCTCCTTTTCTTTTTCTTTCTTCTTTTTTCTTTCTGTTTTACTGTCTCCTTTTCTTTTTCTTTTTTTTTTTTTTTTTTTTTTTT